GTACTGAGGTGACTAGAAATTTATGCTAATATCAACTGGACCCACATTGCAGCCTGTCAATTTTTTCCATTTCTCTTCAATTCCCTGTTCTGTTCACCAGTCACAGTTTAACCTTCTTTTCTCTCCTCAAGTCTTCAAGATGACTCCTTCACACCCACCTTCTGAGGTGCAGACTTTGCCCTAGAGTTCACCAAAAGTTAGAGTCATTTGCCAAAAAGTCCCTTTTCTTCCTTCCTCATCAAATCATATCATTCAAATATCTTTCCCTAATATCTCTTCCTTCACTCTACTCTCTGACAAAGAGATGGCCTTTTTCCTTGAAGAGGCCAATCCATTTACATGAACTCTTGATATAATTCTCTCCTTTTATTCCCCAAGCAGACTGCTCCCATTATCATACCTCCAATCTCCAATTTGTCTCTATCTTTTGACTTCTTCCCAGTTGCCATGTCATTTCCATTCCTATAAAAGCCCCTCATTAGATCCTATCTACTACTGGTCATTCTTTATTTCTCCTTCTCTTATCAGCTACACTCCTTTAAAAAGCTGTCTGCACTGTCTCCCCTTCCTCTACTCTCACTTTTAAACACTCTGCATCTCAGTGCTCATCCTTCTTCATCTCTCTGTAGCCTTCGACACTACTGACAACTTCCTCCTATGGGATACTCCTTCTTTCCTAGGTTCTTATGGCTCTGCTTTCTCCTGGTTCTCCTCCTACCTGCCTCACTGCTCCATCTCATCTCTTTTTGCTGGATCTTCATCCACATCTTGCCCAAGTCTCTATCTGGGGCCCTCTTTCCTTCCTATACCCTGTCATTCCTATACCCTATGCCTTATGCTCATTCCTATACCCTATACCTTATCAGCTTGTGGGTTCAATTATTATCCCTATGCAGAAGATTCCCAGGTCTACATAACCAGACCTAGTTTCTCTTCTGAGCTCCAGGCACACATCATCAAATGCCTAATGGACATTTCAAACTGGATGTTTCACGGGCATCTCAAGCTCTACACATACAAATCATAAATAATTGTCTTTCCCCCTAAAACCTTCCTCTCTTCCAGACTCTTCTATTATTGTCCAATGCACCACTGTCCTTCCAGTCACCCAGTTTACAACCTCAGTGTCACACTAGATTTCTCACTCCTGTTCACCCCACATATTTAATCAGTTAGCAAATCTTGTAATTTCTTTCTCCACAACATTTTTTTGCATAAGCCCCCATCTCTCTACTCACACAACTGTCATCCTAGCTTAGCACTCCTTACTTCTGGCCTGGACAATCAAATAACCTTCTCACTGGTCTCCCTGGCTCAGGTCTCTCCCCTGTTCAATGTATCCTCTACATAGATGCTAAAATGATTTCCCTAAGCCTCGGGGCTGATCATTTTACCAGCTTAATTAATACACTTCAATAATTCTCTGTTGCCTCTGGGATCCACTATAAATTCCTTTGGCATTTAAAGCTCTTCACAAGCTGCCTCCTTCCTGCATTTCTGGTCTTTTTACACATTTTAACTCTATGATCCAGTCATACTGGCCTGCTTTCTGTTCTTTACACACAATGTTCCACTCCCCATTTCTTTGCCTTTCTAATAGCTGTCCCCCATGTCTGGCCTGCTCTCTCTCCTAACTCCATCCTCTTGGGGCCTCTGGCTTCTTTTATGACTTAATTCAAGATTCATCTCCTATAGGAGGTCTTGCCTGATCCCCCAGATTCTAGTGCCTTCCCCTCTAAAGTGACCTTACTTGTACTCTGAATTTATCTTGTATGTACCAATGTATTGTATATGTTGGCTCCTCCATTAGAATAATGTAAGCTTTTTGAGGATAGGGACTGTTTCTGTTTTTTTTTTTTTTGTATCCCTAGCACTTAGCACACTGACTAGCACAAGGGTGGGGAACATGTGGCCCTCTAGGTCCTCAAGTGCAACCCTTTGCAAACTTCACAGAACAAATCTCCTTAATAAAAGGATTTGTTCTGTAAAAGGCCATACCCAAGGACTTAGAAAACCACATGTGGCCTGGAGGCTGCAGGTTCTCCACCCCTCAGCTAGCACCTACAGTAGTAAGTACTCAACAGATACTTATTGATTCGTTAATTGATGGGCAGGAAGAATATGCTGTTAAGGATATCATTGGCTTATGGACTTGATAGTTCTTTATCCTAATAGATTTGTAAGGTCATAGGCCTTACATAGAGAGGACATGGGAGTTACCATACAATGGACCCAGAGCTAGTATACACTTATGCTACCCCATGAAACCACTGGTCCAAGGTAGTGTACTGTAGAGAGGGCTAGAGTTTGGTCCTAAGGTCTAGTGGGGGGTTGACTAGGTCAAGAAAGGGTACGGTGGGCACTGTCTAATTGCCACATAGAGTGCCAGTGCTAGTTGTATGTGAGACATGTAGATCTCTAATAAAATGATTTCAGCTTTGGGGAAGCAATTTCAGTTAGACAAAATATCAACTTCATGGCACTCTGCATTTTGAATTCCTGATCTTTGGCAGATTCTCTGGAATCTGAATTCTACTTATTGACCTGGCCTGGATCATGTCTGCTCCCTTCCTAACTTGGGACTCACTTTCCCTACCCTAGGTGAGAATTATCCTTGCATCCTGTCCAACAGCTTCCCAAAATGTCAGAGTAGTTTATATTTGATCCTGGAGGTAATCAGGAGCCACTGGAGTTTGGTGAGTAGGAGAATGACGTGAACAGACATGAACTTTAGGAAAATCACTGTCAGCGGTGTGGAGGGAGGATGGATTGGACTGGCTTTGCCTGGGAAGGGGAATTACTATGCTGAGGAGCTACCTGTGGACCTGGAATCAGTCATACTGGGAAGCAGAGGGACTGTCTAGAGGCTCTGAAGCATCTCCCAATGATAGCCATAGAAAGGGAGCTTCACCTTGCCACACCTACTCTGCCTACTTAACCCATTCCTGTCCCCTCTGATTTTCAGTCATGTCTAATGGTTCTTTTTCTTTCCCAGATCCCTCCAGTGCTTCCAGTGTTTGGAGTTCATTTCCTTCTTTTCCCTGGATTATCTGTTAGCAATAATCCACTCCAGATCCCTTTCCCAAACTTTGTTTTTTGTAGGAGACAGGGACTAGATCTGTGATTTTATGGTGCAGAGAATGCCCAGAGGAGGAAACTCCCTCCCCTAATGCAGGCTGTCACCTTCTGAGTCACATAGAGGTTTTTTTTTTTTTGGCAAGGCAATTGGGGTTAAGTGACTTGCCCAGGGTCACACAGCTAGTGAGTATCATGTGTCTGAGGCCGGAGTTGAACTCAGGTCCTCTTGACTCCAAGGCCAGAGCTCTATCCACTGAGCCACCTAACTGCCCCACACATAGAGTTTTAGAGAGTTGCTCAGTACTCAGGTTAAGTGACTTGCCATGTATCAGAGGCAAGACTTGAACTCAGGTCTTTTTGGCTCTGGAACTATTTCTTTATCCACTATACCACACTGTTTTTCTATTCACAGGAAATATGAATGATTGTCCCTCTTAATGCTGCTCCTGGGAGATTTCCTTGCAACTGTGACTCGTAGCAGGGAGCATAAGAACGTAACAAAGAAGGAATACTGTGCTGCCCTGGGAAGATTCATAGAATCCCAGACTCTCAGAGGCAACAAGGACTTTGGAGGCCATCTAATGCAATCTGTACTAACAGTCCTCTACAATATTTTTTACAAGTTGTTATCTAGTCTTCACTTGGAAAGCACGTTCATTCTACCTTTGTACAACTCTGATTTTTAGGAGGAAAGGCTTTCCCCCGACACTGAAACTAAATCTTCAGGATTTCAGAGTTGGAACCTCACCAGCCAGTCCATCTAGTCCAATTCATATCCAAAAAGAATCCCCGCTATGATATACCCAACAATTTCCAATCATCATTCCTAGTTGTTCCCTATGGAGCCAAACAGAATAAGTGTTTGGGAGGCTCTGAAAAAGAATCCCCAACTCGGGATTTTCACAGAAATTCAAATCAACAAGCATTCATTAAGGACTGACAGTGAGCTAGGCACTGAGGTAGGCTCTGAGAATATAAAATACAAAACCAAGCAGTCCTTGACATTGGAGAATCTTGGATTCTTCTGGGAGTACAAAGACAAGAATGAAAGCAGTTCTTGCCTTCATTTTAAGTCATTCTACTGCTCATGAATTTTACATGGAAGGTTCAGTTTAAAAAATTAACTGAGCATTGTAGACACCCCCCCCCCCACTGCCAGTGAGTCAGGCATAACCTCCAACTGTAGAGGAATTAAAGAATGAATGGAGGCATTTACTGTTTGCACCATGTATACTTCTCCCTATCCTTCCCAATAGACCTCACAGGCCAATGGGAAACCAATGAGTGAAAAAATATTTATTAAGCCCTCATTATGCACCAAGCTTTGGGGATACCAAAAGAAAAAATGGAGAGCCCCTGGTCTCAAGAAGCTCACATTCTACTGGGGGGCACAACATCCAAATATGGTCATGCTGCAACATTTGATTAAATACTTAAAAGAAGAAACCAAATCCAGCTTTTCAGTGCTACTTTTTGGTTTCTTAAATTTAATGCTTTTCGCATCTCATTGAAGTTGGGAGGAAGAAAAGGACCCTTGAGGGAACAGAGGAAGAAGGGCTGATTACATGAAATCTGTATTATAAAAACTGGCAAATCCAGCAGTGTCAATGAAGGGGATGGAGCTGTCTGTTTACTTTGTAAGAGACTAGGTATGTTCTTCCACTCTAAGGAAATGCAGTCCTAGTTCCCCATTCTTCTAGCATTGTCTGCCCTGTTCCTCGAGGACTGTATGTCTCATGAGGATTTTGAAAAAACTCAGCCAATGGGGATAATGATTCTCCTCCGTTGAGTTTGTATGGGGCCAATCCCAGAGGGTAAAACTTGGGGTTTGGGTGGAGTTGTGCCCAGCCTGGTGGGGTGGGGGACAGTGATCTGAGGGATAGGGGCTAGAAGGAGAGGAAAGCAAGGGTAAGCATCCTTACCTTGTCTCTGTTGCTCTTCCTTGTGGGGTCGACTCTTGCCAAGTTTCATGGCAGAGAACACACTCCTTCCAGCTCTGAGAGGAGGCCCCAAGCACAGATGGAGTTGGAGATGGAAAAGAATAAAGAGACAAGCAGAAACGCATGAGAGAAAACAAATGATTAGGTCATTCTTATAGTCTCTCTTGCACTCTTATCTCTCCTTCCATCTCCTTCCATCTTCCCCTTCCTCCCCAAATCTTCTTCACTCAAGAGGACCTGAGTCTACAGAAATTTGGCGCTAAATGTCCCCCACTGAGAATTCACCCAGCTAAGCCATTGGGGCGATTGTCCCCCCAGTCCCTCTTTACATCTCCTAGGATGGAGTTGCACCCATGCAAGGACTCCAGCAAAAAGAGAACCAAGCCCACCAGCAAATATCGATCTTCTACCTGGAGCCAAACTTGAAACTAAGCTCTCTATGCTGATTGGCCCCACATAGAGCAACCTAAAAAACCCTTCTTCCTCTGCCCCCATCATTCTTCGGAGCTCTGAGTCACTAGTGTCCCCCAACTCCCATCTCTGCAGGGGAAAGGAAGGAAGAAGAGTGAACGGAAGGATTGAAAAATGGCAGAGTCACTTGGAATGACAGAGCGGTCAAGATAGATGACTGCTAGGAGAAACATGCATTCCACCCACAGTCAGCCTTGGCTCATGGAGGTCTAACTATGTGTACCTTTCTCTAATCCCTTTGCCTCTAGGCTTCTCCTTAGTTTCTGTGGGGGCATGAAGTGATTCTGTCCCCAAATCTGTCTTCTCTCCTCATCACCAGTTTTGAGATGGCACCTAGGATGGGAACACTAAGGGTCTAGGTGGTTCCTACCTCGTCTTCCTGCTTGATTAGGCTTTGCTCCCCCAAGTGAAGGGGGTTGAATTCCCTGGATTGTGGGCACAGGTTCTGATGTTCCTTTGTTGCTAGCAGCCAACTCAATGGCCCTGGCGCCAGGAGGAGGAATGGGAGGTAGGAGAGGCAAAGTGCAGTATTCCATTACACCATCAATACTGAATGAGAAGGATATTTGAGCTGCCTCCACTTCCCATTCTCCCTCCTACTTTCCCCCAGGAGGCTGGATAGGGTGTGGCCCTATCATTCTGCAGCCTCTGGATGGGGATAGGTTAGGAGGCTGCCTGGCCAGGCTCCCATGGAGTCATCCTCAATTAGGAATCTTGGGATACCAAGAAGGAAGGGCACTTGACTCATGTGGACCCTGCTCAGTAGGGTGGAGCTCACCTTCCTTTCGAACAAAGAGGAAGTTTTCTGCCATCTATCCAATGAAGTTCCATTTCTACCACTCTATGCTTTCCTTATTGGATAATTTGTATTTGTGTGTGTTTGTATGTATGTATGTGTAGCTATCTGGGAGCAGAAGTGGGAAGGGGAATGGGGGCAGAAGAGAGAGAACTTCCTTGTAAGTGGCACCTATAGCTGGCAGCATTTTTGTTGTTGCTGCTGTTTAGTTGTTTCAGTTGTGCCCAACTCTTTGTGACCCCATTTCGAGTTTTCTTTTCTTTTTCTCTTGGAGTTTTCTTGGCAAAGATACTAGAGTGGTTTTTGCCATTTCCTTCTCCAGATCATTTTACAGATGAGAAAAGTGAGGCAATCAGGGCAAGTGACGTGCCCAGGGTCACATGGCTCTTAAGTGTCTGAGGCCAGATTTGAACTCAGGAAGATAAAGCTTCCTGACTCCAGGCCTGGCACGCTATCCACTGTGCCACCTAGCTGTCCCCTGGGAACATATGTACATCAATCAATCCACCGTCCATCCATCCTCCAACAAGCATTTATTAAGCCTTTACTATGTGCTAGGCACTGTGTCAAGCTTCCTTTTGTTTGCTTGCAGAAGGCTTTCGAAACTAAAGGAAGTGAACCTTGGTACACAGAACCGATAAACCAGAACCCAAGTCAGTTAGCCCATCCCTTCCTCCCAAGTTGATCCTTGGACAAGAAAGTGAGAAATTGTTGTGTCTACCATAAATAAATAAAAAATGAACCTAATAGGGGAAAAGGGATGTTAATGCAGGTAGGCTGGAGTACCGGGCACTAGAGAGGGAGACTCCATACAGGGTCCTGATTAGAATAGACCTGAGAGGTTTTTTCTTTTCTTCTTTCCCGCTCATTATTTAATTCTGCTATTCTCAAAAAATCCCACTATCTTGGCATCTGAGAAAAGAAGAAAAGAACCAGTAAAAGGGAAGAAGAGAGAAGCTCAGTAATATAAAACCCAGTGGATTCGACATTCTTCTTAAACTTTTTTTCTCTCCACAGGAAGAAGTATGTACCACTTCTAAGGAAACTGTCTACTTTATGTACATGATGTTTCTCTCAGTAGAATATAAGATCCCTGAGAGCAGTCTCTCTCTCTCTCTCTTTTTTTTTTTAAGTTTTCATATTCTCAGGTCCTAGCAGTACAGTGACTGTCACAAAGTAGGTGCTCAAAAAATGTTTGCTGATTGACTGAATGTTCCTTGGCATATTGACTTAATTGCACGGGTTTATAGTTCTCAAAAAGCTGAGGTCCCATCCCAACAGTCCTGATCGTTAACATGCAAGGGAGAAGTCTCCGAGCCTGAGCTCACACAATATAGTTAGAGGTATACTTTTAGCCCATATGCTAAACCTCATCCATTTGAAGAGAGATGTCATTCTGAATAGTTCGTGGCATCTAAGTTTGAAGAACTAGGACCTTCCAAATCTAGCAGAGGCATCAACACCTTTTGAAAGAGACTCTTGGTAATGTCAAAGTTAAATGACCTTTGCCCTCCTAATAAGCAAAATAAATTAAAATGAACCCATAAGAAGAAACATTAAATATTCATCAACAAAACTTTATGTTCACCAACCACGTTAAAGGTATTGTGCTAGAGAAAGTGGAGGCAGATACACATATAGGCAAGAAATGGTCCCTGCCCTTCAAGAAGTGATGAGTGTTGAGAACTCATGACTTGGAAAGGCATCAGAACTCTTGGGATGGTCACTTAGGCAGGGATTTGTTGATTCTCTTTTAGCTAAAGTCAGAGCCAAAGATCACAATGGGTTTAAAAGACTTCAAATTCTTTGCTGAATTTAGGAAGCACTCATTCAGTCTCTTTGTAAATGGGAAGGGGTTTTTTTTTTGGTCATGAACTCTTAGAACCCTGGAGTTGAAACAGATCTTGGAGGTCATCCAGCCTAACCTCTACCCAAGTAATGAATCCTGTCTGCAGCATCTCCAACAAGTAATCATCTTGCTTCTGTTTGAACACTTCCAGTGACAGGGAGCTCACTACCCTGAGGCAGCCCATTCCATTTTTGGACAGCTTTAATGGTTAGGAAGTTTTCCCATTAATGTTGAACAAAATCTTCCTCTCTCTTACTTCTACCCATAGCTCCTAGTTCCTCCTTCCAGAGCCAAGAAATTAAAGTCAGACTCTCTTCCAATAACAGCACTTCAAGTATTTAAAAAATAACTAGCATAAGACTCCTCTTCTCTGGGCTAGACACCCTCAGTTTCTTCAAATAATTCTCACGTAACTTGGCCTCAAGTCTCCCCTTATCTGGAATGCTTATATGCTAGTGGCCCTTCTAAACTGTGGCACCCCTAGCTGTGAGACCCTGGACAAGTCACTTAACCCCAATTGCCTAAAAAAAAGTGGCACCCCAAATTGAGTACCATAACCTAGATATGGTCAGACTAGAGGGCAGAATATTGTAGGATTATCACCCCTCCCACCCCACACCTGTTGTTCTGAATATTTTGTCTTTATAAATGCAAGCTATGATTACCTCCTTTCTCTTGGCTTCCGAATCACTCTGCTGACTTCTCGTGTCCTTTAAAACTCCCATAGCTTTCGCACATGAATCTATTTCTAGCAATGTAGGTGTGTGTCTGTCTAAAGACATAGAGATCTAAATTCCAAACTTGGTTAATGACCACGAGCAAGAATAACCCCTGACAAATTCTAATTGGCATGCTCTTAGTCATTCCGTTTTAGGGATGAACCTCAGTTCAATTAAATAAGATACCATACCTTTTTTTGGTCAAATGTTATGTGAAAATCCATGCTGGGTTGGGCCTTCCTAGGAAATATAAGATCAGTGAAATCTCTAGAGACTTGGAAAATCAAACCTGTTCTTTCCACTAATAATTATGATAAGTTAAGGAAACCTCACTTCAAATAGGATAATGGTTGTGTTGGATAATGAATCATAAGATCATAGATGTAGATCTGGAAGGGACCTTAGAGAATACTGAGTCCAAACTCTTCATTTTAAAGATGAAGAGACTGAGGCCCAGAGAGGTTAAGTCACTTCCCCAGGGTCATACATCTAGTAAGTGTCAGAGGTGTGATTTAAACCCAGATCTTCTCTGACCCCAAGTCCAGTACTCTACCCACTATGCTATGCTGCTCAAAAAGCATAAACATGATCCTAATTGTTGAATTTGTTAGCAGTTGTTCCTTGTATGGACCTTTGGTCTTCAACTGTGATAGGCACATCTGCCATTTACACGTATCTACCGACAGAGGTGTTGAGACTATGCTAAGATACTATTCACTGATATGAAAAATAAGTTGGGTCTGACTGGGAGTCCACACAATTGGATTTAGTTCCTGGAAAATCCAAAAGACTTGCCTTGGGCTCGGTGGTCCAGTAAAAATAAATGATTTTATATAATGATTTTATATTAGCTCCTTTGAGAGGGGAGAAGATAACTTCCTCCAGGAAATGGATCCACCAGGATTTCAAGCCCTGCTCATGCCAAGCTTTCTCTTATGCCACACTGGGCCCTCAGGACTTGGAAAGAAGCCAGGATGGATTCCACAGCTCCATCTCTAGTGATTACTGAAGCTTGGGTTAGCCCAGCAGTAGTGGCGCTAATGGCGGGGAGTGAAGGGAGTGGAGGGAGAGAGTCTATGCCCATAAGGCTTACATAGTAGAAATTCCAGGCTTCCTTGCACTACTAAATGATGTCTTTTTAAAAATGCTCTCAAGATCTCTCCTTTTTGGACCAATTTCCACTCGGGGAGGGGGGGGATAGGACTCTTTTCTGACTCATAA